TCTTTAATACTATCTGTAGTAAATATTCCTTTAAAGTCTTTCCTCTACTCTCCTTGCTTATTTTCATTATCAGCTATTCTTATCACAGTAACAGTATGAGATGAGTTTCTTGTCAGCCTATAAATTCCAGGTCTCACTTAATCACTACCTATTAGGGTTTAAAAAGTATTAGAAAAATTTACATTTTGTTTAAGTGGTCTGTGCTTGTCAGACTATCAATATTCTGTTATAAAATTGTCGTCTTCCATGTTTCCTGTTGTTTTGGTCTTTGTGCCATCTGTTAAAGCTTTTGGTAATGATCAGTCTTCAGAGTTGTGACAGAAATTATGTCAAGTTTGGACAAACACTGCAGAACTTATCAAAATTATCTCCATTCGGTGAGGCAAGGTTAGATGCTCTTTGAAGTCCTGTGATAAATTGCTATCAATCTCATTTGATGTGCCTCTATTGGTAAGGTGTCAGATGTCTGATTAGGGAAAAAACAGGTTAAAAGTAATAAACTTCATGAAGTATAGTACAGCTCAGCCTTTGCTTTTAGCAACCAAACCCTTGATTTCACAAAAAAATGAAATCATCCAAACTGCCAGCAATAGGGAACAATTCAGTTATATTGACTCTTCTGGAGCTTATTTTTCATTTCAGAACAATATTCTTTCCAAATATAATTAAATTAAACCAATAATTTAAAGAAAATTAACAAGTAATCTTCTATTGTTATCAAAATCTGTTATTAATTTAAATCAATGTATTGAATCTATTTCATTTTTGTGAACTTTTTTAAAAAATATTTTCATTCTTGTTTGGAATGAATGATGGGGAAATTTAAAAAACTATTTGGAAAGGAGTCAATCTTATATGACATTTCTTAATACACTCTTCCTGTTGCATAAAATACCATTCAGTTCAATGAATATGAGACCAAAAATGTGTAAGTGGTTAAATTTTGTCTTCAACATTAGACTAAGCAGAGGATTATAAACTTTCTCTTTTCCCTTAGGAATTAATCTATATTTCCATGAAACAACCTTGTCTTAAAACTTTTTTTGAATGTAGAAAATTATTCAGTTCACTGAATATTTAGAAGAAATTTAGAAGAAATAATTTAGAAGAAATACAGGATTGGCTATTTAGGATCTTGCTGATATCAGTTGGTCTCAGTAGATAACTTCAGGAATAATGAAGGTAAGACACACATATAGAAAAAGCGTATCTGGAGTGGGTAGGAGACAGGACCTCCCAGAGTTTTTATCAGAGTATGTTTATGGTTCTGATAAGGGCAAATCCACAGTTAAAGTTTTAACTTTAGTCAGCAGATTTTTCTTCCCCTTCAGCTGTCACAAGAAACTACCATTTTGTTTAAAGCTAACACTGAATTTTAGAAAAATAAAGTCATGAGGGAGAAGAAATGCAGGGAAAAGACTTTTTGCTTCCGAGGACAAGTAGTTTTATTTATCATCTTCAGCCAACTATTTCACCACCAGAAATATCTTCGAAGACCTTCGAAGACATTTGGGGTTGAGTTAGACTCTAGTTATGCCAAGAGCCACATAGCTATAAGACTTTACTTAGGTGAGGTCTGATAACTTCACCTGGTACCTGGAAACCCATTCCATGGTTCCCCTTCTCCTCCACAGGAGACGACTGTTCTTCCCACACAGTATCTGCATTTCCCACCAGTGCAAGAGGCAACGTAATGATCTCTTTCTCTCTTATTGTCCCCCCAGGAAAAGCAGCAGCAATAGAACACTACATCCCACAGGCCATGGCTCGGCATGAACGAGGCGCTGTCCATCCACCCAGCTGGCTGCTGGCTGACAGCAGACCCCTGGGGATGATACACGTGGCACACAGCTGGTCCAAACACAGGGAGAGTTCCTGCAAACCACCCATCCACACCACAGTGAGAGCCGACTGCCATGGGCATGACCAGGCTGCCAGTCCACTGCATACTCAACACAGAGCTTTTTCTGCACAGTAAACATAACCACTCTACGTGCGTCTGAGGAGTTCAGGGTGTTTACAATAGTCCTGATCTTGCTTCATTACTGTTCTTAATGATCAGACTTTGGCTTTTAAATCTAACTGTGGCTGTGTGCTTAAAGACGGTGATTACCAGATCTCCATTTTACATGTGAGGAACCCAATTCACAGGGCCATTAAGTGACCTTGCAAAACAGGAAAAAGTGTTGAAGCCCGGTAGCAAAACCAAGAGAAGAATCTAGGTCTCCTGATAAATAGTTTAACAGGCCATGCTGTCACCACATTAAAATAACATTCTCACTCAGACTTCAACACAAATCTCTCCTCACAGGAGCTGTGTCAAATTCTGTTACTTTTCAGAGTTCAGGAGTTTGTACATGTGGTTGAAATGTCATTCTCGTTATTTTTCCTCTGAGAAAACTCTGAGAGGGTTTTTCCTCTCACCAGAAACACACCCCACCACAGCTATAAAAGATTTTGGACAGCCACCATTCTATGTACAAGCAGCTGAGATGCTGACTCACTGGTCTCCATGAGCTTCTCTAGCAGCATTTGTGCAGAAGTAGTAAAACCAGTCCTGTAGTGCTAGCAAAGCAAGAAATTGGCCAAGGCCTGCCTATACCACAGGCTATGGCTGAATTTGAGCCTGTTCCTGAGGCACCTCAAGACTCTGGAATCTCCTAAATCTACCGCAGCATTGACATTGCAACAGTTTCACTGACAGTCCCAGAACACAAGAGGTCTTTTTTTGTCACTCAAAAGTGACTTCAATATCAGGCCTGAAGGGGTCGGATAGTTGGACTAGATGATCATTGTAGTAGATACAACTGAGTTATTCTAATAATATTAGATTATGTTTAAAAGAGCAAAGGAAGAAGGAGCAGTGCTTGCCATGACTGCCAGTCCAGGGCTTAGGAGGAGGAGGAGAGCAGATCTGGAATTCAGAGTTGAGAAATTTCAACAAGGGGCCTCACACAAACCCTATATTCAGCTGGAAGGTAAAGAGACACAGTCTGTCCCCATTCTCCTTTAGAGCTGTGGCACCTAAAGGAGGAGAGGTAATGTGGGATGTCTTAGGGACACGATTTGCCTGTCCCTAACCATCTTCTCTCAAAAGCTTCCCATAGACCTTGATTTTCCTCACAAAAGGACATCACTGCTGGCTACATTGTTCATGTGTCATTAAAATCCATCCTAAGAGAAAATCATGAAGAGAATGGATGTGAGGGGAAAAGGGAGAAAGATGAGAGGTAAGGACAAAAATATACCTCTTGCACGAACATTTGAAATATTTTAAAATCATAAGGAATGTTTGAAAACTGTAAACCTGCATTCTAGCTAATGATTCTAGAATTGGTTAAAATATATGCCACAGAGAAAACATAGGAAAGAAAGATACTGAAAATAAATAAAAAGAAGAAAAAAACCAACAAGTGTTTTGTCATTCTCTTTTTTTTTTATTATGTAATCAAGAGATGGACCAAGAGGAAATTGAAGGACAGGTTAATGTAGGAAATAGTAGGAAAGTGAGCCATAGCTATCTAGAACCTCACAAAAATAGTCTTAAGAGGGTAACAAAAGGAAAAAAAAAAAAAGCAAACACATATACACCATTATAATACATACATGCTAACTTTAAGGGCTAAATCTGGGGTTATTTCCACTGCCTAGGCCAGTTAATAAACTATCATTGCTAGTGACTGATGGCTTAGAAAATCTCTGCCTTTGCAGCTGTGTGACTGTCAAGATGAAGCCTCTCTTCTTGCAGAAATACAGAAAAAAATTAAATTTCTACACTGAAAGAAGGGCAAAAGGGCATGCAGGATTATAAAAATTACAGCATCACAAAGCTGGGGTCAACCAGTTTTTTCAAACTGACCACAGGCATATTTCTTTATTGCATTATTAAAGGAAATTTTATTTTCATTATTCAAGAGTACTCACCTGGTTATAACTCATCTTTTGTACAGTATCTTATCAACAACTTCATTGCTTCTAATAACTTCCCCTTATATCATCTGACAGTTATTTCAACATCCTGCAAATATTGGACCATTTTTGTGCAGGCTTTACTGACAACATCCCTTCCAATACCTCCATTTTTTCTGTGAACAAGCTGATTTCATCTGAGTAATGAATACTCCGAAGTTTTTGGGGTTTTTTTTCAGAATTTTTAGTAGGATTCAAACAGACTGTGAAGCAAGAGCCCAAAAAAGTTGCATGATTTCATTCCCCTTCGTTGTTCATTTTTGCCCTGCTGATCTGCACTGTCCAAACATGCCTATAAATAGCAAATGAAAGAGACAAAAAGAGGGAAGAAAGCATAGTGAAAGCTAAAATATACACCAATACAAAAGTGTTAAGTGTTGGTGCATTTCACTAAGTGGTTTAATATGAAAAACTCACTGACACAGGCACAGAGCTTTCTCCTCTTTCCTGAAAAACAGTGGGAAAGGTATTTTAGTACCGTCTCTGCTTTCTTCAATCCAATATCAATAACTGAATTTAAACACTGCTAAACAGAGAAAAAACAACCCTTGCTTTTCCTCCTATCTTTATAATTTCTTTTTTTCCCCACCCTGTTAAAAAACCACTGGGCGCCAAGGCAGGAATGTATCAGTGTCCACACGACTGGACGCATAAGCTGTCCCTTGGGGTCTCCTCACAGTGGAAAAAAAGCTACCTTGTAGAAGTTTCTTTCTTCCACTCAAGCTTTTTTCCCTCGTATGCCAGCAGCCTGTCGTCCCTAGAGGGCAGCCGATGCACACAGCTCCGGGGCACACAGCGCCTTCCCTCAGGCTGCACGACTTATCACTTTTAACCAGCTTGTGTCTTCTGTTTCTAACTGCACATCCAGGCAAAACACTTTGACTGAAAAAGTTTGGGTCATTTCCCTTGCTTTTTTCCAGCTCTTCATGGATGTTCACCCAGAGAGCTCCCATAAACCGCCCCTCCTCCACCCTGCCAAATTTAGGGACAGTCTTCTGCGCCTCTTCTAACCAGTACCCAAAGCCCCTTACCTTACGATGACAAACATGACCAGGGAGTTTCCCACCAATCCAACAACGAACACCACCGAGTAGACAGCAGTGATGATGATGGGAATGGCGGGGGAGATGCTGGTGTGGTTGTGCTGGCCATCCCCAAGGGCCCCAGTGGCATTGCTGTCGTAGTCTGCCCAGCCGAGGAGCCAGCTGCTGCTGGTGCTGGGGGGTCGACAGGGCCCCGGGGAGCAGGTGGAGTCCAGCTCTTCACGGAAAATCTGTACAGGGGCATCCATAGGGGTACAGTCCCCACAGGCTAGGGGGAGACCAGGAGGAGTGTGCAGACAGCAGGAGGCAATTAAGCTGGAAAAGAGGGAAGAGAAAGAAAGAAACAGAAGTGCTATCACAGCCACCAAACATTAAGACCTCTGAGACTTGTATGTGTTAAGGGGAGCTCTGCTGTGGTGGGAACTGTAATTTGCCGAGCAGAGATTTAAGCAAATCACATTCATATTGAATAATTGCAAGTTTTACATCTTGCTATGTAATGCTGCTCCTCCAAGTGCACAAGGAAAGTTTTCCTCCACTTTCAGAGATTTCACAGAGAAGCAAACCAGATGGGAACACTTCAGATCCACCCCCACACTTTAACCCTGTCTTTCCCATCCTCCATATTTATGTCAAAGTGTATCCTAACAAGGGCTCCTGAATGCCTAAGCTCTGCTATAAAGGAGAAGGAGACAGAGAAACCCACCATCTCTCTGCACATCTGCTTTAACATCCTGCCCTGGGTTATTTTTTCCTGATCCCATAACTGCTTTCAAAGAAGAGACACATTAATGACAAAAAATACCTCTTTCAGTCCAGGAAAAGGAGCGGAGTCCTCAAACAGATGTTCTTTGCAGGAAAAGAAAAGAATAAAGCAGCTGCGCTTGGCTCCTAAAAGTACCACCGCCCTTCTAGGACTTTTGAACCTGAAGCACCTGTGCCCTCGGAGAGGCGTGCTGGCAGCAGAGCTGGTTGCCGGGCATGAGCTGAAACGTGTAGCAGCAGCAATTGCTGCTGTTCCAGCTCCTACCACTTCGCCTTTTCTCTCTCACGCTCCCTCTGCCTCCCTCCCGCTCTGCCGGGGCTCCAGTAGCACTCTGCACTGATGCACACGTTCTCCTCTGTCTCTGTCCCTGCAGCTCAGAAGCTCACATGACTTCTTTCTAGACAGTGAGAGGCAGATAAATTAAAATAAAAGCAAGAAATAAGTTCTGCAATGAATAAATGCTTATTTTTAACACACTTTTCCAAGTTGCCTTTCCTCATTCCCCCTGCATTCCCAGGCCTCAAGCAATGATCGTTTCTGTCCTATTGAACCCCAAAGGATTTCAGACTAGTAGATGCTGACTGAAACAGGAATATTCAGTTTAGATGCCTTGACTGATCCATCTGCTCTTTCATGCCCCAGCTCCACAATTCTGCATCCAAAACATTTCTCACTGGGTGTCTGTGCCCCTGTTCCTTTGCACCTGCAACTGGAAAGAAAGTCAGAAGCTGTCTACGACAGAAAAAACGGGGACCTTGATTACTGTCCTTAATTTATTCAAGCTGTCCCACACCATGTGAGAAGCCAAGAATTCCCTGTAGCATTGCCAGAGCTCCATTCTCCTTAGGCTCCAACTGCAACCAGAAATGGAGAGAAGGCATGTGCAGAAATCACATCCCTAAGAGCTTATCCCTAATATACTCCCTCAAGCAGGAGTTGGTAAGGCACTAATATGTGTTCAAGATATCCCTTAATTTGCACACAGACCTTGAAATCCCCACCAGGAGTCTCTCTAAATGACAAACTGGGGAAAGAAAGGCAAGACTCGGAGTTGTTCCTACTCCTTTGGAAAAGGCTGAGAACAGCCAGACTGGCTACATCTCAAAGCATGCAGCAGGAAAACCAGTCTCTGAAGAGAATAGCAGACTGATGTGCTTCTGTGGGTATTTGATGAAGCCTAGACAGTTAGGAAAGGGGCTTTGGGTTTTCTTCATCCTTTCCCAATCGTGAAACTTTACTTCATGTTCCTATGTTGAGTGTCTATGATCAGGCTGAGTTTTCTATTCTAAAACAATTTTTTTCTAAACCTATAATTAAGATGAGAAATTACGTCATCTCAGAGTCAAAAGTCACGTGGAAGGTTTTAAAGGTACAGAATTCCCTCTGTTAGAGGAAGAGACTTGTTCAAATGTGATTATGCTTTTGACTGCGGTCACTATTTTCTCCAGAACATCAGCAACTGCTCACTATCATCTGTATAGAGCTGTCTAAAAGCTTCACACTTAATGAAGATGGATAAAAATGCAAAATAAGCATGTGACAAAAGCATCCCTGAGCCAGGGACACAGACTTGGGATAGTAATAATTTTTTTGAACATGAAGCGAGATCCTAACAGAAAATGTACTCCAATCCTGTTTTTATCCTCTGCAATTCATTGGTTCCTGCCTATGTGTCAGAGACTGAAGCGGTTAATGATTTACACATTCTAGGATTGCCAGGGGACTATTGCAGGCTGGGAAGAGGCAGCTGGACTCATAATTTCTTTGAGTGTGGGGGCTTCCCTCCCCCACCCCTAACAGATCAAGACCACCGCTTCAACTAACAGACATGGAAGCTGCAACTACCAAGTTTCATCTCTGGACCCCATGGGCGGTGACTATATACATTTTTCCATTCTCATCTTTTCTTTTCCTTACTCTCCCTTACCCTTATTCTGTCTTTCACTTTCTCTCCCTTATGCGTTTTCCCTAAAGGTCATCTTTATATCATATTGCTATAGATGATAGATACAGATGATAACACTCAAAATGGCGACATACCTGTTTATCTTTGAAACAAAATTTTTCTAAAATAAAATCTACATACATATGTTTTCAAACATCAATTATTCAGTGTCATTTCATTCTAATCCACCCTAAGGGATTTATTAATGTGGGTTACCCCCCAACTTTCTGGGGTGGCTCACAACACCATGTACTGAAAGGAACTACTACTGCTATATCCTCTCACACATAATTTTACTTGACAATTTTCAACTTCTTGTTAACATCTTCCCCAGACTTCTCCATATTCTGGAATTAAAATGTACAGAAGAGCTTTAAGACAGCAATATGTTAGCACTCATTAATAACTTAGCTCTTATGAGCAATCATTTTGTCATTCTGCAATTGCTACAGGTGGATCAGAAACTTTTATACGGGTAAGAAAAGCCTATTATCACTCTGCATAAATCAGCAGCACAGATGATGTAAAATAGCAAGATAAACAGCAGACTTAAAGTTTTTACAAGCACCAGTGGTTGGAGAGTAAGCTGCTCATTCTCTAGCTAAATTCTGTGCTGAAACTGTCCACCAATCTTAAAGTTAGTACAAAAAAGATATGATCACAACTGCAGTCACTGACCCTTAATGGAGTTTGCATTGCAACTACATGAGACTGGAATGAGGTGGAGTTTGACAACAGCACTGCAAATTATAGGTGAGCCAGAGGCGTCATGTAAGCTGCCTAATGCAACTGTGTGCGTGTGTTCCATGTTGGAGGCTCAACTTTGGCTCTTGGTTACTGTATGTCTTTGCAATACAGTAGAAAACAAGTACTTGGCCTAGGGAAATGTGTTTCTTCAGAAAGTGAAATCAAAATTGTATGCATCAGTAAAAAAAAAAATCTTTTCCTTTCTTGTGATTGCTTTCTTGATGAGAACCTGAATATCTGGATCATCAGTGGGATACTGGAAACACCTGCAATGATATAGAAAGAAAAACTAAGGGCGGAGGTAGAACCACTTTCCATCACCATTTTCTTCTCCTTCAACATGCAGCTGCTAAGTGCCTCTGTGTCCTTCCCAACAGTCCTGTGGAAAAGAGCAGGAGTCCCCTGAAGCCACAAGGGGAGAGAAAGGCAGTGTTTGCAGGTGACCTAATCCAGATTGTTTCCACACACTGATGCCAGAAGTCCCTGTTCCTTCTGAGGGCTGACATCAAACAGAAGGTCTTGTTATTTCAAAGGAAAGCAATGAAATATTTAGAGAAGAAAGACATCATAAAAACATAGTCTCACCACTCAGCTGAAATTTCCCCCCAGTACTGTTCTTACAAACATGTGGCTTTGCATGCCCCCTAATTTTTTACTATGATAGTTTAGACCCAGTGTTGACCTCACTGGACTTTGGAAAACACAACAGAAATCGCTTGGACTTTTCAAATTTAGAAAACAAAACCATATACCAAATTCTATGTTTAGGGAAGATTGTTTAAGTTGTGAATTCCAGCCCTCAAAAGTAAAAAAAAAACCACATTCAGCTGTCTGATACCTGGGAACTACAACACATGCATTTACACACGGTTTTATTTTCCCCAGGCTCTGTACCTCAATCAAAAATCAGCTACACAATATTGGTACATTTAGGTGGAAGGTCAACCATAAACTTGGAATTTTGTATCTGTAAAGTGTTTTCTTTTGCAATCCTAGTGAAATTCTTTGAATGAATAAGGAACATGGGGGAAGGGAGATATGTGTTATTTAACAGTAGCAGATAGGAAGGGCTTCAGCACTGTCTTTTTTTTTCTTTTTTTTTACCAAAAGCTAAAGAGCTGCCTGCATCAGCACACTGCTTCAAAACTTGAACAATGTGCTGGGACATTAATTCAGCCCTGACTCAGGGGTAAGAATGAACCACATTGAATCACTGGCACGACTGTGCAGCACCCGCTCACCGTGCTGCAGCAGAGACTCAGCTCCATCACTTCAGCACATGCAGGTTTTGAGTGAAAGCTGCTAAGGTGCTAACATCATTTCCCAAAAGACCACAACACTTTATGGGTTTAAGTCAAATATGCAGCATAGGGCAGATCTTGAAGTTCAGCCATGAACTGTAACACAGAATACTTCAATACAGGACCATTAGCAGAGGTCACCTTCTATTCTAGAGGCTGGGAGGAAGACCAGATGAATTAAGTGGAGCACACTATCAAGATGCTTTTTCAGCTCATAATTGGTTTTACTACCTGATTGACCAAAGGCTACAACAATAGTGAACCTGAGTAAAGGTAGGAGATAATGGAAATACTTTCTGGTGGTTCCAGTTGCCAGGGCAACAAAGTTCTCCTGTCTCTCTGCATCTAGAAATGTTAGCTCTCTGTGTGAACACAGCTTTTGGGAAATGGTGTGTTTTATCCTCTTCAAAGACCAGCAAGGGAGAGGGAGGGGGAAAAAAGAGATGGGAAAGTATATGTAATACTACCTAAACAGCTTTTGTACACATATTTTGGTCACAGTAGACTAAATATTCAGCATAAGACTTGTGCTTTTTTTTTTTTTACTTGTAGATGGCAGAAGTTACACTTAAAAAAAAATGCGCTACATTTAAAAAAAAATTACTGGTACAGAACTCCATTTTCACCTTCAGAAACCAACACAATAAAATGCTGAACATTGGGACAGCCTCTGTGGCCTGTCCCAAGACATGTCCACCTTCCACGGAAAAGTCTTTGAGAGGGTATGGAGACACCAGTCACCCTCAAGCTGTCAACTGCAGAGAGGGACTGGGGCAAGTGTTGGAAAGTTTCTGACTTTAGGACTTTAAAAATGAGGGGTGTCATACAGGGAAGAGCCAACTGGCAGCGAGGAAGTCAGTGGCTGGGATTTAGGAGTTCAGAAGATCCCAACAGGAAGCCATATGCTTCGCTCCGCTGTCACCCTGCTTCCTCCCAGCGGCACTTCCCTGGCAGTAGGCCATGGCACACATGCCAGCACCTTGAAGCAGAGGCAGAATTGTCAAAGCACTTCACCACTTTGCCATTTTCCCGGCATTTCATTTCACCTCATCAAGGTCCTCAGCTGGAAGTTTTAGAATTTCTCACTTTTCTGAAGCAGGCTAGAGCTGTGACTCCAGAGGAGATGCCTAGAGCAGCTGAATGTGAGCTAAAGACCAACTTTTCAGACTTCTCTTTAAAAGAGAAAAACGTAGTATTCCTCAGATATCTGTGTAACACATATAGGTATCTGCTCTACAGAGCAGTTCTTCTGATACAGACATTTTTTTACCAAAAAAACCCAACTAAACTAATCACACAAACAAACAAACAAAAAGAACCAACAACAAAACAAAACAATTAAGTCTCTCTAATTATTATTTACAATTACTTTTCCTCTGGGCATTATCAGTTAATCATCTTTCACAGCAAGTTGACTTCCCAGCATGTGGAAGAACAGTTCTGCTGGTA